CAAACATAAAGATATAAAATTTAATTTTTTTGTCATGAATCAACAACAAGTGGCACACAATCGTGAAGTGGAACGAAATTTATTGGATAATTTAAACTTTTTTAACAAATAAAAAACTGAAAAGTGGGGCGTGCAATATTATTCGGCCCCTTTACTTTCGGTGCAGCAAACTCACTCCAGAAGTTCAGTGAGGATCTTTGAATGATCCAATGTTGTCCTAAATGACTGATGATGATAAATAGAATGCTCCTGTGTGTAATCAAGTCTCCGTATAAATGCACCTGCTCTTTGATAGTCTCAGGGTTCTGTTTAAAGCGCAGAGAGAACCATGAAGACAAAGGAACACACCAGGCAGGTCCGAGATACTGTTGTGGAGAAGTTTAAAGCCAGATTTGGATACAAAAAGATTTCCCAAGCTTTAAACATCTCAAGGAGCACTGTGCAAGCAATTATATTGAAATGGAAGGAGTATCAGACCACTGCAAATCTACCAAAACCTGGCCGTCCCTCTAAACTTTCATCTCAAACAAGGAGAAGACTGATCAGAGATGCGGCCAAGAGGCCCATGATCACTCTGGATGAACTGCAGATAACTACAGCTGAGGTGGGAGAGTCTGTCCATAGGACAACAATCAGTCGTGCACTGCACAAATCTGGCCTTTATGGAAGAGTGTCAAGAAGAAAGCAATTTCTCAAAGATATCCATAAAAAGTCTCGTTTAAAGTTTGCCACAAGCCACCTGGGAGACACACCAAACATGTGGAAGAAGGTGCTCTGGTCAGATGAAACCAAAATCGAACTTTTTGGCCACAATGCAAAACGATATGTTTGGCGTAAAAGCAACACAGCTCATCACCCTGAACACACCATCCCCACTGTCAAACATGGTGGCAGCATCATGGTTTGGGCCTGCTTTTCTTCAGCAGGGACAGGGAAGATGGCTAAAATTGATGGGAAGATGGATGGAGCCAAATACAGGACCATTCTGGAAGAAAACCTGTTGGAGTCTGCAAAAGACCTGAGACTGGGACGGAGATTTATCTTCCAACAGGACAATGATCCAAAACATAAAGCCAAATCTACAATGGAATGGTTCACAAATAGACGTATCCAGGTGTTAGAATGGCCAAGTCAAAGTCCAGACCTGAATCCAATCGAGAATCTGTGGAAAGAGCTGAAGACTGCTGTTCACAAACGCTCTCCATCCAACCTCACTGAGCTCAAGCTGTTTTGCAAGGAAGAATGGGCAAGAATTCCAGTCTCTCGATGTACAAAACTGATAGAGACATACCCCAAGCGACTTGCAGCTGTAATTGCAGCAAAAGGTGGCGCTACAAAGTATTAGTGCAAGAGGGCCGAATAATATTGCACGCTCCACTTTTCAGTTTTTTATTTGTTAAAAAAGTTTAAATTATCCAATAAATTTCGTTGCACTTCACGATTGTGTCCCACTTGTTGTTGATTCTTGACAAAAAAAATAATTTTTATATCTTTATGTTTGAAGCCTGAAATGTGGCAAAATGTTGAAAGGTTCAAGGGGGCCGAATACTTTCGCAAGGCACTTTACCTGAGACTAATGACTCATGTGTCCCTATTTTTGTCTTGTTATGGTTTGTTTTGTTGTTTTGTCTTTGTTGAATAAAGTCACTTGCAGTAATGTATGACATGTGCTGTATAAATCTGTTGATTTTAAGTTTTGGCAAGAATCTGTAATGGACATGGAAAAAGCTCAATCACTCAATTCACTCAAATTAGAGCTGAACGATGTTGGAAAACTAACATGCAACAAAGGACTGCGATATCGATGTATATTGCGACATTTTCATATCCCAAAGAAATGAAACTTGCATTACATAAAAACAAAACAAAATCTAAATTGAATTTTTTGTCTTTCCATTGAAGGTTAGTCACTTTAATCTCAACAGGTGTAAAGAAGGTAAAATATGCTTTATGAATTAGTTTGTTTCATCGCTTTTATGTTTTCTATGGACGACATTGGTCTTTGTGTTCCTGCTTCTGTCGTCTCTCCTAAATCCAAGGTCCATATAAAATCCACAGACGTTTGTGTACTCGCTCAAAACAGCCCTTTCAGGGTTCACACTTATGATAGTGTGTGATCTCTCTCATCTCTGTGTGGAGTGAGAGGACAAATGCCCAAAAATAATAATTGTAAACCGCTTTGTGACTCTGGTCTGTGAAAGGCGGTATATAAACATTACTTACTTACTTACTTACTTGATTGGTAAAAGTAGGTGTATGCATGAAAAAAACCGCATGATTTGCATATATTAATAACTAAAGATTATTGCACATCATTCAGATCTGGTCTTGCACTTTTATTGCAATTATAGTTTCTCAATATATTGTGCAACCCTAACTCAAAGTACATAAAATCCTGCCTTATAAGTTTGTGAATAATCCCTCAAGACTTGAGCGAGTCCACACCACTATTGTCAGGGGACTTTCTAGTATTAGTAGACAAACTTGGATCTCATATGGATAGAGTAGTCATATCAACAGATGGTATGCTGCCTGTTCGGCCCTCGGGGTTACAGAAAAACTCGGCTCTTTCTGTCACAGTCCACGGTGGTAAATGTCTCACAGTTCCTGCAAATGCTAATTAGACTCATGTGAGGTGCAGAGCCAAGTCCAAAAACAGAGGAAGGACTAGAGACCAATTTAGGGATGACAGTGCGTGACAGAGTTGTCCTTCTGTGTCTGCATCTCGTTGCGGGACAGACGGTCATAAATGAGACACCGCTGACATTCAGGGCCACCGCGTCCTCCTCCAAGACTGTCCCTCTGCACATTAGTCCACACCGGAATAATGTGTTTGAGAGGAAAAACCTCACAAGCCTCACAAGAAATATGTGATTATGTAATTGAGACGTGCATGTATTTAACTGAAATATAGGAGGAAAATCGGTGGAGGATAAATATCGGTGACAAGAGCTGGTCTCAGGAGAATTGATTGGTTGGGCGGCACGGTGGCTGAGTGGATAGCACTCTCGCCTCTCAGCAAGAAGGCCCTGGGTTCGAATCCCGGTCGGATCAGGGCTTTTCTGAGTGGAGTTTGCATGTTCTCCCCGTGTCTGCGTAGGTTTCCTCCGGGTACTCCGGTTTCCCCTACCACTAAAAATATGTCCAATAGTTCTGGCATGCGCCTCCTATACTGGTGACCCCGCTCCCATCTCTGTGTGGGGTGAGAGACAAATGCCCAAAAAAAAATTTTTTTGTTTTTTTTTTTTTACAATTGTAAACCGCTTTGAGACTCAGATCTGCAGTGAAAAGGTGGTATATAAATAAAGATTACTTACTTACTTCGTCCATTTTCTCAGCCCAGTTCTCTCATCACGCACATTTCCTCCAGCTCATCCAGGGGAATGTCCTGGGTCTTCCTCCAGAGTCTCCCCACAGTGGTACATGCCCTGAACACCTCTCCACGAAGGAGTCTCACTCAGAGATAGAGCTTCTCCCTCAGGTCTTCCTTACTCTAAGGGAGAACCTAGCCACTCTGTAGAGGCAACTTATTTTGTCCGCTTATATCCGCGATCTTGTCCTTCGAGTTGACTGGCAGGTAAATCAAGAGCTTTGCCTTCTGAGTTAGCTCCCTCTTCATCACAACAAGCTGGGGGGACGTGAAGTCCAAGAGTTTTGGTATTTTGAGCTCTACAAAAACAACTTGATTTCATAGGGTGCAATGTACTGTACAAGTAGTTTATTGAAAACATTTATTCTTAATGCAAGAGCAAGACTGACTCCCTCATATTGACCACATTTCCACCCAGACCAGAGTGAGTGCAGAAACAGTCTCAGTTAAACACTAAAATACTGAATAAAAATCACAAATATGTGACCACTCTAAAGCTTTTCACACAGGTTTTGACTGAAAAGACTGGACGTGTCAACAACCACTTTAGTGAGATTAGGTGCTCCAGCAGCTGCCCCTAGCTGCCGCTTTGTTGCTTGAAAGAGTTATTTTATTATTGTTAAAGATTTAACATTTTGAGGTAATGTGCCAAACATCAGAATTGATTTTTACGTTGTCATTAAATAAGTAGAGATCTTCTCAGGGCAGTGAGATACTATTATTTTGTTAGTCATCCAAATAAAAATGCTCATACAAGTGTAGGCCCGTTTAGTTTATTGTTCGTAGATTAATGGTCAGCTTCAATTGGTACACTTCTATCCGAAAACATAACCCTCTTGCCAATTTGCTTAAAACCTGGATATTGATTTTGAATTTTATGGTACTTTTTGGAAATATGTGTGCGCAATACCGATTTCATTGATGAAAGGATATACTTTTTGGTCACATAGTAACAACATAAAAAGTTTGGTCAAACAAAACATAAGCAACCAGAGGACAGAGCACCTCACGTTCAAATGCCTGGAAAGGAGGAGGTAAACAAATTATCCTGTTATGTGCAGTCAGTGTCGGGGAGAATTAGGCCTGGGAAACCCACAGGGAAATCATAAAGATTAGAGATGGGGAGACTGCCCGGGGATGTGTGTCTGAAAGAGCACCTCGCTATTAAGGCAGCTGTGCTCAATACGAGGCCATGTCCATCTCACACTTTCAACTCAAGTCAAGTTCTTGTTCAAGAATTCAATTGGAGGGCAGGTGAGGTAGGTTGAGGATATCAAGTTCCTTATATGAAAAACACAGTCATAGAGATGAGCAACATTACAATTTATTGTTTTATTTAATCAAAGTGATAAAAGTAAAACATCAAGATTAACTCAATAAAAGACTTTATAAAATAAACCTCCACATTTATATTTTTTCACAACATTTAAAAGTTTTGGAACATCACAAAATACAAAACTTTTCCCCAACTGTTTGAAACACTAAAATGCAAGAACTTTAACAAAACCTAATGGATACAGAAAGTTCAGAATAATTCTAATTTCTGGCCTCGCTCTGGTTCAAGTGCACTTTTGCCACGGCTCTGAGAGTTTTCATAGTGGGCTCTTCATTACTGCTGTTCAGCCCTTGATCAAATGCTTGACAAGTGATTAATCAGGCGGGCGGCCTCAGCAGAGCAGCTGAAAGTTAATTTCCACACTTGTGCGTGTGACGATGGATGTGCACAGCCTATCCCGCTCTCAGGGTGACCTCTGGCCTTCACATTTGCTAAGATTACATCCACAGCGACAGCTCCACGAGAGTCCTCCTCACGCACCACTACACCACGCACATCACACAGGCGTTGCACAGTCAGACACCGAAACTGCAGACGCGACATCTCCCGGGCGACGGAGCAGACATCTGAGAAGACCACGTGTTCCTGAACAAGGCCGAGGTGTGCGTCTGTGACAAAGAGCTGTCCCACCAGCCTCAGATTGGAAGGGAAACATATCCCCACACAGCAGTAGAGCTGCAGCTGCACCTCTCCCGGACTTCTCTGCATAGGAGTGATGTTGGACTGAAGCAGGCTCAGCAGATCGGCCAGACCTCTCTGGAAACTACTAGAGACCCTCAAACCTCCATCGAGCAGCACGTCGGGCACAGGAGTCTGCCGCTTCAGAGACATCTCCATCATGTCCTTGCTCAACAGAGGGATCTGAGACACGCAGCCCTTTGTGGGACAGAGGAGCCCCAGTAATGCCCGGCACAGTTCCCTGCTGAGAGACTGGCTGTAAGTGTAGAGTCCCAGGACCCCATCCTCTGTTAGCCCAACGAGGCACAGACTGTGGCCAGCAAAGCCAAAGTATAGCTCCTTCAGCTGAACCAGAGGCAATTCATAAAACACCTCCAGAGCTCCGCTGCGCTCAGTCACTATGTACATGCTATCCTCCATCAATATCACAAGAGCAGGCTGAGCTTTGGGATCACTTCTTTTAGCCACTTCAAGCCAAAAAAGTGCAACAACCATTTGAGAAGTAAAAAGTGAACGTGGAATGATGTTCTGTAAAGTGGCTCTCAGTGTTGAATAAGACAGCTGTAACTTCAGCAGTGCGTCAGGGAATGTTATTAATGCCTGAAAGTAGATACTGGCATCTTTAAACCACACTGTTGACACTCTCCGTGTTTGCTCATCAGCACGCTCATATCCGTGCTGCAGGATGAGCTTTAACTTCACTTCCGTTTGGTCATCATCCGGCGGCATTCCGTTTCCCGATGCATTTTCTCCGTTTTCACTTGTATCCCTACTTTGCTCTTCTGGAGGAGTACAACCCAGACTGGCACAGTTCTGGGGGGCTACATGTATATTCCCAGCACTCGTTGCCTGAAGGTGCTGCATCATCTCAAAATGAAAGTGTTGAACAAGCGGCAGTTTCTTTACCAAGGACAATATTTTCATTTCACTGAAGAGAGAAGTGAAGTACCCATCTTTAACTAGTGAAATCACATTGCAGTCTTTCACAACAGACAAAACCTTACTGTTTCTGACCAGAGCGACGACATGACAAGGCCAACCAAAACTAACCGGATGCAATCTCTGCTCCAATACTTGCTGTAACACAAGGGACGAACTCAAAATACGTTGACTTGCGCCTTGTACAATCCAGGACACCGTGTTGACCAGAGATTCCAAGCCTACAGTCTGCACCCTATATGGCCACTTATCTACATCCATCTCTCTGTAGAGGGACAGTTCCCGTGTGGTGGTAGGACAGCCAATAGCAGTTTTGTCAAATTGAGGACGAGAATCGAGTGTGCTGGCTCCTTGCGGGTCGGGTGCTGCCTCTCCTCCTTCCGCACTCTGCAGGTGGGATATAGCAGATAATGAGATCCCATCTGAGCCTCGTCTCCCCTCGTTGCGGTGAGCACAGACTCCTTGGATCTCGTTAGCGCTCCCTACTGGCCCGGAGCCACATCCATCACCACGGCCCGGGACACTCGTCTGCCGAAGTCTGCCGTCCCCTGACCGCAGCTCTCCAGCGCTCCTCTGCAGGCCCTTTGATGAGAGCTCTGCCCCTGATTTATGACAGGGGTTCCCCTCCGGCTCACGACGGCCCCGGATGTGTACTCCACCCTGATGCGCCGCTCCATCCAGTGAATGAGGGACAGAAGTTTTCACAGGTGTGGCCTAGTTAACATGGGAAACAAAGACATTTGAATATATAACAGCTTAATTTTTTTAAACCATTTTACAGATGAAATAGAATCTAGCTACAGAAACCTTTGTAAATAAGAATGTCAAGAATGTATTACCAAGATATTTAATAATTGGAGAACATGTCATTTCAGAAGATGTGAATTTCACACAAACTTTACATGTTTGGCACAATAAAAATAATTTGGTTGTGGTTTAAATGTTTAAACTGATCGGATAAAATTAGATGCGCTGGTGTATAAATCTTCCAAAAATGCAATTATTGTTTATTAAATCAGGGCCAATTAGTAAACCGAAATGTCGACTGCTGCTTTTAATCTTATGCGAACATTTTAAAAATAAGTTCAGGGCCAAGTGCTACTATCAGATTACGCTTGAGTATGCCGTTCTGTATGTTGCAAAATCTGCCAAATCTCCAGTTTCATTGAAACACATCCATATGATTTTGATTGTGGTACCTACTTTGGAAACTGGTTTTTCTTTGTCGTTCCCCGTTTCCACAGACATCACATTCACACATCTGAAAACACATTTTTTTTCATAAAGCCATAATCAGACATGTCCATTTACTTTGAACAATTATGGTGATAAAGTTAGTGCCCCAACCTCGCTGCACATCACCATGTTGATCACTCAACAAAAAAGTGGAGAAAAAAAAACTATCCAAGACCTTGCACTCTCAAAATTCAGATGTCAAATATTTTACTTTGTGCAACAAGGTCTTCTTTGGGAACACATCCCACTCACACTTTTTACATTACTAGTTGAACTGGTGAGAATACTATTGTCACAGCATTAAGAACACAAAAACAAAGGTAAACTTCTGCGCTGAGGTAATGGCAAAAAAGCTTATGACCATCAATGGCATAGAGCCATTTATAGTATTAAACCCGATTGTATTGGGGTTATATCCTATAGGGGAAATAAAGCACTTTGGTTTGAGTGGAAAGTATTTCAAATTCTCAAACTATGCAACAACCACCATTAGATTTGGTAAGCCCAAACAGTTGGATGAGATTAGCGCCACTCAGCTAGCTGTGAAATTAAATAGAATCTGTGCATGTTGATTTGAGGATTTGCATACTATACTGAGCCTCGATGACGAGGGAACAGAAACATTTGTACGATTTCTGACTGTAAACAGCAGCTTACAGGCTTTTCCGACCGGGGCAGTCAACCATTCACAGCATCAACAAGAGGGGCCGCGATTAAAGGATTTTTTAGGATGAGGAGAATGAGAAAAGTTCTGTGCAGCGTTTTTCAAGTCACCTGTCTAAAAAGGGATGGCACTCTGTGCCACAACAAAATTAGTGAGATTTATTTAATATAATATTGGCTGATGGGGGAATAGTGGCTCAGTTAGAAAGAGCATCGGCCTTTGATCCTAATGGTTTGTTTGTGTTTATTTATTCGGTCATGCAAATGATTTTTTGACATAAAAAGGCATTAAAAAAAAAAAAAAAAAAGAGGACAAGGTTACAAAAACAACGTATCTTATGTCAGTGATGTACATGCTTTAACATAGATTTACAAAAGCAGTTTTGCCCGAAGGGATTAGGCTGGAGACTTAATGAATTGGATTAGGCAAAAGTAAGTTATACTTCAAAGTATTGGGCAAAACCCATTCAAAAAAGCCAAACAAAATTTCAAGATCAGGAGAAAATTGAAAAAATAAATAGGACGGAAAGATATTAATAATTTGAGAAAACAATTACATTTTAACAAAAGGAAACAGCAAAAGGCTGCCATAGAAGTGTAGGAGAGCTGCGAGACCTATCATTCTTGGGCTTGGTAATTTTCTAAAATATGTTTATTATTTTTAAAGGTCTTTAATGTGTAAGAATTTTTAATTGTGTCGTCCTAGTTGTTCCATAGTCTCACTCCTCTGACTGAAATACATCTGCTTTTTTTGTTAGTTCTTGCCTTATTTTGAAAATCCCTGTTCCTCTAAGATTGCACATAGAGATAGTGGTTTAGAACATATTTTGAATATTAGGTGGAAGATTACTATGCTGAGCCCTATGTACTCACATCAACAATATCATACATTTTTAAAGTCCTTAACTGGATAAAGAGGGTTGGTCGGTGCGTAGTAGTGTGCTTTAAACACAATTCATACGGCCTTCTTTTGAAGTAGAAAAATTGGTTCAATGTTTGTTCTATAATTGTTTCCCCATATTTCAACAACGTAACTCAAACAGGGAAGAATAAGGGAGTTGTACAACTGGTGGCGTGATTTTTGGTTCAAGGCATGCCTCAATTTACCCAAAATTCCAACATTTGACAATTTCAATTTAAGATTATAGACCATTTAATATTTTCCAGATTCCACTAATATTACTTTGATGTTCCAGTAATTTTCCTTATTCACTCTGATTATATTTATAAATTTATTTTTCTATGTTTTATATCTTTCTTCTGCGACTATTTCTATGTTTTAGGTATAATCTAAAAAGATTGTTTTTCTTCTAGCATGCATTCAATATGCCCCGAGTGATCCATGGCTTATCTACTTTATATTTGTTTTTTGCTTTAAAAGGACAATATTTATCAGAGTTTGGTTGCAATAGCTGAAAAGGCATAACCCAGATCAGGATCCTCAGAGGCATAGACCTCTTCCCAAGTTTGTGCACTTAGATCTGCCTTGAAAGCGGCCATGGCTTCAGGTGATCTATGTTGGATCAGTTTCTGTATAACTGTATCAGCTGTTTGGAATTTGAGTAAAAAATGATGGAAGACTCTTAAAGACAGGGAGGTGATCACTTATATCATTGATAAGTAGGCCGGCTGTTATTTCTCTATTTATCTCATTTGTAAAGATATTGTCTATAAGTGTAGCTGTGCTGCATGTTATTCGACTACGTTTGAGGATTAACAGGCGGAGGTCATTACTGTACATTGTAGTAGTGAAATTTGATGATTGTATTTTTCTGTGAGGATTAAGCATGATCCTGGCGTTCTATACAGAGAGCTAATGAGTATATTTGAGCCGTTTACAGCAATTTCGACAGTAATATAATGGTAATGGGTTAGATCCCCCACCACGTGCTGTCGTTTGGTCCCTGGGGAAGACACTTAACCCAACTTTTCCTGAAGCCCATGCGGAAACACCAAAGCTGTCTGTTCATTGAAGGAGCAGCCATCTTCCTGTGAACCCACCACCTGCAAGAGGATCAGCAAGTGGCTGGTGCTTTGTGAATTGCGTGGCAGCTCTGATTGCCACCCCCCTGACCCAGAAATGGATTAATAAAGAAATGAAATTAAATATTGGACGACGTTTCATGATTTGGATTAAAAAAAAAAAAGAAAAAAATAAATAAAATTGGCGTTAAATATGTCAGCATGGTCAGGTCAATATTTCATTAATGAACATGCATCCCATTCCTGCTAAATTTCTATGGAGTCAATAATTATTTCCCTGCTTTTCCTCACATCTCTGCTGCGTTTGTAGCTTAAGAGATCAACAGCTGATAATGCGGTAAAAAAATATTTTCCTAACATTGTTACAGTTGTGCACACTAAGTGCACATAAAAAAATGAACAGTGGGATAAGTTGACAATCGTTCTTCTGAGGGGAAGAAACCGTTCTTTTGGTGGGAGGTTCTGGTCGACAACGTGGGCGAAGAACAGACCATGCAGCGATGGAAAGCTGCGAACGATCACCTCTCGGCAGAACGCACAATGCACTGTAGTTCCAGCCTTCATCACCACACTGATGGAGGTGAGGTAGGACTATGATGGCCGTGTAGAACTGCACCAACATCTGTGCAGGCAGATTAGCTTTGCTGAGCTGCCGCAAACAGTACATCCTCTGCTGGGCCTTCTTGATGAGGGAGCTGATTGTCATGTCCCACCTGACATGAGTGATGAGACCTGTGGTCTTCCTGAAGTCCACAATCACCTCCACTGTCGTCTGGGTGTTCAGCTTCAAATTGTAACCACTGCACCAAGACCCCAGCCGGCCCAGATTTGTTGGTGAACTGCAGCGGGTCCAGGAGGGTTGAGATGGGAGAAGACCAGTCACTGAAATTACTAGTTTTTTTTTTTAGCTCTGGAGGATTTTATATTTTTAACTACAGCCGATTTAGTGAAGTTATAGAAGTATAAAAACATGTGACTTTGACAGGAAAATAAGCATCATTTTATTGCACTTGCACAAATCTCTTAGCCACATGTGGCAGCCAACCAATAACTATTTAAAAATCTAAGATTTAGTTTTATGAAACTGGAAACTTGTGCACCTCTGGCCGAACACACTTCAGTTTATGAATATGTGCAAACAGTAAGTACACAACAAATTCATTATGAAGCAGAGAAGCTGGACAATACCCAGTGCCCAGCTCTTGTATCTTTGCCCACTGTGACTCCCCTGCTTTCGGATAAAGAGGATTCCCGCTGTTTCCACTCACAAATCCTTTAATATGGTCTGCTTTTGCCCATTTCTACATCCTGCTCTGACAGCATCCCCTTCTGGTTGAAGCACTCAGAAACAAGAAACAATATTTCTAAACAAAATCGTTTCCTAAAATATCACTGGGATGAAAACAGAATGTTTGCAAAAAATGTTAATGATAACCCCTGTAACTGATCACTTAAGGTTATGTGCTGCAAACAAAAAATCTTAAAGCGTCTCATGCGGTTCAAATGTCGGAGTGAGATTAATAAAAAATACATGCTTAATTTCCCGTGAGAAGTATTTTCTCAAACATGCGAGGTTGTGATGACATTGAGATTGGCTTGAATAATTCATGGTTTGTTTTGGCTGCAGTTTTGCTAGTGGGTAAGGGTATAAAGAAACAGTACCCATAGCTGAAGCAGGTTCAGTTGTGTGCAACACAACTGAGGGGTGAGTTTGTGAACAGCTCCCCGGAGAGACCAGCTCATAACAGACTGTGGTCAGAGCGGCCAGAGAGGCTTCATGCTGAGGGGGCCATCAGAGCAGAAAAGGGCTGTTTGGTACAGGGGCCTCAGATCCTTCAGCTTTAGTTGTACAACTGTCTCAGAAACCAAGCAGAAGTATGAGTGAATGAATGCAGAGTTATTAAGAGCCAAAATTTCTGACATTCATACAGTCACATATTGCCATGAGGTTTTGGTCATGCTTCATATAGTAGGGTGATAAAATGCCCAACTAGTGTAGGGGGCTGTGGGGTTCTAAGTTCACTAAAAGACAAAAAGAAATCTGTTGAGCCCCATTCACATAAAATAATGTTTAGAGTTTGTTTCATTCAATCCACACATGGTGATGACAGAATCAAGACACACATCACGGGCATCAAACACCAACACCATCCACTCACATCTATTGTGCAAGTTTGGTTGTGGGGGAAACTGGAGAACCTGGAGGAAACCTACGCAGACGCGGGGAGAACTCCACTCAGAAAGAGCATGTTCTGACCAGGATTCGGACCCACGATCTTCTTGCTGAGAAGCAAGAGTGCCATCCACTCAGCATCAGTGTCACCTGTGTAGTTTACTGGCACTTTCCCATAGTTAAGACAACAAATTAATATTTAAAAATATAAAAAGATTATTTATTTACAGGCTTATCAAAGTGCTACTTGTAGTGAAATGTATAGACAGGAATGTGTACAAACAAAGCAAGTCTGTGAAGACTATTTGGAGCAGGGACAAACAGGATAAAGATAGTGCCAGTGTAGCTGAAGATAACATCTGTGCACTGAGCCTATACATTCTACAGATAAATTTACTTTTGTATCCACACTATGCCATGTCGGGGCATCAGGGATAGAGGTCTCAAATCCCCTGAACACAAAAGCACACAGCACCGGAGAGAAAATTGTACACCAAACACATGCTGTAAAACAACATTATCAGATCTAACAGGCTCAGGGTCTGAAATTGGTCACCACTTGAGGCTGTGGTAAATAACAAGAACACAGATTGAATTTTGGGACTTGTCCAATGAGAAGAAAAAGTGACAAATCGATAGCTACTCTTAAAATCCGGGAGAGAAGATAAAATGTCACATTAACATTGTGAGGTCTACAGACTTCAGACTATTGGAACACAGGGATAACTTTTTCCGAGAGGGTCAACAGATTCTATCCAATTTAACATATTTTGGTTGACTACCAGGATCTTCAGTCCCAAGCAAACCCTTTACACATTTAAATAAAAGGAAGCATTTGTGTAAATTTGTAAATTAAATATAATAAATAACCGCTTCTGAACATTGGGCAACCTTGGCCTGTAAAATCAAATGAATAAACAAGCAATTTCTGCAATAACATTATGCAGAATGTTTAAAAGACATTTATCACCTGGTCAGAGAAGCTTATGATGATTATGTTATTAAACTTAGCTTTGAGGCAAAACAGAATTGAACAAATATTAAGAATAGACAAAATATTAATCTTTTTCTTTGTGTAATTTTTGTAATAGTAATGAGTTTTTCATTTAAAAAGAGTTTATGTTAGTATACTATTACTAACAAAAATTATCTATGCTTTATCCTTGTTTAACAAGGGGGACTTTGTGACAAGTTTGGAATTTAACAAAAGGGGAAATGTAAATAATTGAGTACCATAGACTGCAGGAGAAGGACTAATAGAGCGCCAATGTCACACCCATAGCATTTAACGTTGACTGGAGCCAACTTATTGTCATCACTTATCAGCTCGAGATTTAATTTTCAAAGTCAAACTGTATGAGGACAATTTGTTCGATCTCAGTGGCATCACGGCAAATAACAGATGCTTATTTAAGAAACAAAACGATGTAATGGAGTAATGAAATGATCATGGTTACAGAGTCCTGACAATGTTAAAATCGGCCCATAACTTATTGTGTTATTGTGAGAAATAATAAACCCTGATGAAAACTTAATTTGGGGAAAAATGAAGTGTGTTGAAAATCTTATATATTTTCAGAAAACCACTACTGATAAAAATCAAGGGAGAAAAAAAAAAGTATCTCAGCAGAGTTCTAGTCTTACCCCGGTCCCTGCAGCATCACCTTGGACACACTCTCAGCAGACTTGAACGTGTCAGTGGGCGACAGGCTGACGGCCGACAGCAGCCCACTCTGAAACACAACGAGGGTTAAATGTGCCAAATTTAACAAAAATGACCCCCTCACCACATTTTCACATAAGTACCCACTCCGCAGAAGACTAGCCACCCAAGCAGTCTGGGCATAGAACAATTCTGCCAGCAGCCTGCCATACACAAACTTGAACTTCGATGCAGAGGAGTGCTAGCAAACATTGAGTCACATACGAGACTATGCAAATCTTGATCTATCCATTGATCCCTCACTATTCCTGTAAAAAGGACAAGGACTTGAGTAGGACTGATAATTGTTAAGTGCCTGATGACCAGTTGAGAACGTGAATATGGCAGGTGAGGGCAAAACGCATGTACTTTCAACGTCTGGCTACAAAAGCACGTGCCCCTAGGTGACTCCAATGCAATTACCTTGTAAGAGTGACAAAAAGCTGTGTTTATAGTGTTTTAGAAAAGAAAAGTTGAAAGCATGTATTCAGAGATAACTGACCACTTCATTTTAGTTTCTGTTCATTTTTAACGTTTAATACTGTAAAGCCCATAATCGTGTCACACGGAGGTAGACACTGATCAGGATATGTGTCTGATGAGAAGTGTAGACTGTGGGAGCTGTGCTGGAGAGAAGAATGAGGTTCTAATGCAGGGCATCCTGGGTAACTCCAGGCACCCTCTGCATGACACTATGGCCGCTCAGAGGAGTAATTGAAGCAACAGGCTCCTATCACTGCGCTGCCGGACGAAACGTTTCAAAAGATCCTTTGTTCCTTTGGCTGTCAGACTGTACAACAAACTTGGATGAGTCTTCTGCTGCTGGACACCTGCAATTTTCTTAAGGGGATCAATAAAGTATCTATACATAAAAGGTATAAGTATTATATTATTCTGCAGCATTCCATGTCCCAGCTATAACCTCCAGTTTCAAACAAAAAGCTAAACTGCAGCATTGACAGGCACCTGGAATACATTTTGTTGGAAAGTATTTAATTTTGCATGAAACACAGGACAAAATAATGGGCCAACCAATTATTACAGGAAGAGATTCACACAAAACAGAGAAACTGGCAGAGAACGCCGTGTTAGCAGGTGTTTTTATTCAAAACCAGAGCATCATCTGGATCAGACAAATGCGCAGTGAAAGTGTGAATGAGTGAGGAGCAGTAGTTACTGAAAGAAAGCACAAGGTCATTTATTCATTTAATTGCCTTTACCTGCCGTTTCTCTTTAAGGATTGCAACCTCAGTCGGATGATTAAAACGGAACATTGTGTCTTTTCCTAGTTGTAGAATGGATCCTAAAGAGAAAAGAATTCATGTAACAAAATTCCACAAGTGCCATCTTCAGTCTTTGTTTCTATTGCTAAAAAATCTGACCGCTTTATCCTATATAGAAATAATCCATGATTAATGTGTTTAAAAACAAACGCTACAATACATAACATTTCAAAGGAACGACTTCTTCAGGAAACTGAGCGAAGTTTAAGTGTGCCTTTGAATTGCAGTTTGAGATTATCTTTATGATAATAATGTATCGGTTTTATATTGCAGTTTTTTTGACACTCAGACACGTCACGTGTCATTCAATCAGAGTGCCCCAGAGTGCACTCTGATTGCTTCGCTTCTGTCAGAGTGCCCCATTGGCCCCTCCAACCACCACCAGCCATTCATGCACCCACTTGGCTCATTCTACAAAATGCGGGTGAAGTGTCTTGCCTAAGGGCACAACAACACTGGCACTTTACAGCCTCAGCCATCCCACTGCGGCACCTGGCACAGGCAACCTTCATATATAACTTCTACTCACAAATGAGGTCCAGACTGTTTAACAGATAAAATAAAATCTGTAAAACAGTCTGGACCTCATTTGTGAGAAGTTTTATAACTGTTGCAATTGAGTATGAGTCAATCCTGCCATTTTCCTTCACTTTATTAAAGACTGAAATGCGAACATACTGCCTTCTCTGTGACCCAATGCATAATACAATCAAGATAGTATGCATCCAAGTGTACTTTCATGATCCAAGTCGTAGCGATCAAAATAATATGCAACCATTAGAACCAAGTTTCCCCATTTATAATGAAAACACAAAATTGCAATGAAGCTTCAAGCCCAGTCAGATTGCATTGAACCAAAGTCGACCAATTGTAAAAGAGGTTGGAGCAAGTTTTAGTCTACCACTGAAATGGAACAAAGCACACAATTCCCAGAGTGATTGGCAGTGACCAAGACAGCATGGATTTAGGGCACACTTGCGAAACCCTCATCTTGAAGTAATATTAGACTTTATATATCGGATCGTGTCTCATAGCGTTACATCCATCTATATTTCTTTACTTCGGCCTGCTCCTCTTCCCCTCTGCGCACCAAATACTAATCTAGCTACGACTAATGACTTCTGACGAGTGACAAAGGAGCTGAGAGGGCAGCGTGTGATAGATCCAAGCAGCTCTAGGACTGGAAATTACTATCATTTGTTCAAGAAAATGGCCTCAGATGCAGCAATTTCTGCCGGAGATATTGGATAAATTGAAATGGTAAAAGTAACTGGTGTGGTGGTGCTCTATAGTGTAGACTAGGGACATTGGACAAACTGACAAAACAATACTTCTCATACTTGGCTTCACAGTATTACATTGTATTTTACATTTGCTGTAGAACAATATTAACCCATCAGGTTTATATAAAGCTTTATTGGACACTCAGATTATTGTACCACTCTTTACATTGTGGTGGCATGTTTCTAGTGAGGCTACAACTGCCCTGCCCCTCAGTCACCGAACTAAGGTCTTCCCAAAGCAGTTGTAACGCTAAAAAAGCCCTGCACTGCTTAATTTTGAAAAGCAGCCAGGCCTATGCATTTTAGACTGAAAGAATGGTTATGTGAAAACGAGCATGATTAGATGAATTCAAATTTCAATGAAGTTTTAGAATAAAGATGGTTGAAGTTGAAATAGATGAAAGCCGTTTGGGCTAGTGACAGACTCCAGACCCAGGGGAGTTTCAGGCTTGCTCACCCATGTCCTTTAAAAAGGTTAAAGCTTTGGCCCACTTCAAACCTGTCATATCAACTCCATCTGCCAATTAAAATGGAGGGCCTGGGGCTTTGTCTGAGGCTTTGTTCGGACCTTGGTGCCCTTCAAAATGTTTAGTAAGAGAAATGGCATCTGCCCTGTGGAGTGAGCATAGTCTACTCCAGCTGCTGTGGGGAAACCGGGGGAATAAAACGGACTTCATTTGTAGATGTAATGCAGTGATCTCGTACCATTTCTTCAAAAGGGAGAAGTGCCATGGCGTACCACCAGCGGCTAAACAATTGTGAGCTTAGGAAAGGACTCTTATAGAAGAGCAGGCATTTCGTTTTCAGAACAGGGTATTCTAATGTTCTAAGAACGAGGGTAAAGGCTGTAGAATGAAGCACTATAGGCTAAAGAACGTAAAAAACAACTTTCAGGACGGCTATAAAGGTGCTTACCTTTAGACAAATTGTAGGGTTCAGTAGAAAAGACTGTTCAACTATTGTTCTATGGTATATTGGAATAAAAGGAATCATGTAGTTAAATGTACTACATCTAGATTCACAAGATACAAGGTCAACATATTTCATGAACAAAAGTTTCAAATGTATAGTTAACATTACAATAGATACAATACGTTTTATATAAGTTTAAGCAGATTATCCAGTCAGAAACCAGAACGAGTCATTCAAGTTTGTCAATGACATACATGTGAAAGCGACAGGTTAGAATGTGGCAACAATAGTTGCATTGCAAATGTAATGACCTTATTAGACCACTAATCATTCTACTGTAGATACACCTTTAACTTTAAACTGGACTAAAACTATTTTTTTGGTTGTAGTTGTAAGATCAAAAAGGGATGACATAACTGATTACCGTTATACAGAACTTTGTTCATACATTAGCCTTGTTTTCTCCTTACCCTGAGTCAGCCGGCAGGGAGAAGTAACAACTGATCCATCGACCAAACATAAGGCACCAACGTGAGGAATTAAAGTAACAACGCCATTTTGGTTTAGCAGATCACAGTGTTCATTGAGAATCCCGGCCCTCCGTAGCACTGTACAATAAGCACAAAGTGGTTTTACAGTAGTCTGGGGAAATAACGTTAAAGCTGCACTTTTTATAAAAACCGGCCCAACTTACCAATATCTCGACCGCATAATCCTTCATTGCTCCCAACTGCAGTTTGACCCTCCTGTAAAAGAACATTTAATGAACCCTGGATGGAGAGGCCACAAGCAAGAATTTATACAATATTATACAAAAAGGGACAGCTCATTATGATTGATTCTACACATGATCCTATTCGGTTTTTATCTATGATGCAGAATACTTAGACAAACATTAATTTCCTTTGAGACTAGCAGGAGATTCCAACAGGTCAGACCTATAGAATGTATGCATTCTTTGAAGTGCACTCTTAGTAATAAAAACGTTCTAATAAAAAAATCAAATTCATTTCCATTCTGAGGTATGCCAAATGCAAGCAAAGCAATATTGTTGGGAGGTGTGGGAGGCTTTAACAACCCAAAAAATTATATAGCTAAATTGTGTCTTTTGTTGATTGCAGTTCACTAAAAGTCGAAAGACAACCAGCACCTGTACAACAAGACCCTTATTCAGTCCCAAAGGAGACTTGGGAGCATGTTGAGGTCTGATTTGTTCATTTTTTTCACATTACACTTGAAAAAATGTCTGAAAGTCACTATTTTAAACTTTGGGCTGAGAGAGGATGGCCTTTTATCAGTTTCCTTTCTGAAAAAGGCCCAAAACCTAGCCCAAGAACCAATCTGTAGAAAGTAAAGTTTAGATACATATTACACAGCTCTATCTTCTGTGGGTTATAATAATCATTTGAAAGTTAAGTACCCCAACTTTAACTGAAGAGCTGGTATGCCTAAATTTCCTTCAGGATTAAAGTACATCAACCAATCATAGATTGTATACAGATGAACAAAGTTCACTCTCCGGCTCAATGAAGCCCAATATGGATGTGCTCATGGACAAAGTTTTGCTCCAACTCACTCTGGCTCCAATTGACTTTCATTGAAAAGTAAATGACTAGCTCAGTAACTGTCACACTCTCCATTTTTGGCTTAAAAATGAGATGCCTTCATTCGTGCGAGAGACTCCAGTTTGCCTTAGCAACAGTGTTAGCAACTCGTTAGTTTGCATCTGTCCCTGTTCCGATGCAAAGCTAACCCAGTAAGAAAAATGTCCATATACAAAAAATGGCTCCAGCTAGCTTCTTCTGCATTTGGCAAACACTGAGTGAAATCAGCACTCAGCCAGTCCACTCCTAGTCTATATTATATGATGCTTTAAATGCACTAGCTTCAACACTGACTTAAAGGAATACAATTGCATATTACGCAGATGGCCTAAATGTGGTTGCATTACTTTTAGATAGTAGAGGATGATGCCAGCGCCCAGCAGATCTTCATCTATGCCAATTAGATGTGGAAACTGGCAGTCCAAGATCACACCACTTCTCCTTTTCCTCAGAGCCACCGTCTCCTCCTGTGAAACAAGGAACTGCGTCATGACAAATTTATCCCGCAGCTGAAATGGCACACTATATAAAACAAAAAGCCTGATAGACATTTAACAGTAACCAGCAGAAAACTGAATTCTTTATGACTTGCTCTTCCACGCCCGAAGGCCAGAGAGGATAGATCCAACCATGTGTCGCAGGAAACGGCAGAGTGGCTCACGGCAAACAGGGTCCATAAATCATTCAGATTATAGGGCATACAGTACATTGAGAGCAGAGTGTGAAGCATAGTCCACGTCCACACAGGTGCTCAGACAACACACGCCACTGGCTTTATTGATACAAGACAAACACCACAGTATGGGATATTAGAACGGCTCATAACATCTGTTTAAACAGGACATCGCACCGGTTTGTTGATCCCACTTTCAAATACGATCATTTAAATGAAAAAAAAAGGTCGAGAGGTTTGCTTCAATTTTCGAAAGCATTAACTTGCTCTTGAAACCATTGAAAATATTCTGCACAAATGAGAAATTGCAGTTCATATCCAGCTACTATGTTTACCAATACCGGTAAACAGGTCCAACAACCAGAACAACCAACACCAGCACATGAAAACTTGACTGGAACTAAACCAGTAAATATAAAGATGTTCAACAGAGGGGGCCAGATAAGGTGTCTTGGAAGACCAGATTTTGTTTTTAAATTGAAGTTGCAAACTCAGACCACCAACGAAGACATCAGCCGTCACCTTTTGTTACGACAAATGCTGCACTCTAGGACCCAGACGTCACCTAAACTTGAGTGGCCCTATCCATAGTACTTTTCCTGTTAAGCTGGTGGCCTAATGCCTCGGATTATTATAAGCACCTCCCAAAGAGACAGAGCAGAAAATCTCACACATTAGGTATTCAGACACTGCTCTGTGCATAAACTGGGAGGTATTTTGACCCTAATCTCCGTTCCCTTTTGTATAGATTTAAGCATACGACCACTACACTAGCTGCTCAATCATTGGCAGCTGTGAAATAGTCAAAATCTGTATTTTCTAATGAGGAGGGAGAGGCATCGACCCCAGTGCTGCACTTAATTAAAAGGAATCCTTCACAGACTTCATTAGGGCCAGGCAGGCACTTGGCAGATTAATGCTCTATGTCACTTTCCTTCGACATCAGGAACAGATGAGATCCTGGTATTTCTGCACAAATCAAAAGATACTTGTTCCTCTCTTGGGGTCTGAACATTTTAGGACAAAGTGAGCTTTTAAATTTAAGCACACAGCAATTAGCAGTGCCCTCAACAAGCATCTGGTATTTTGCAGCATTTTAGCATCCATTAACAGCAATCACCCACATTTAAGCAGAAATCTAAATGGGATTTTGTGAACAGAATAACAATTTAGACCCTTGACTTCAGGGATTTGTATTCAACTCACTGAAAAATGTTAAACTACTCAGTAAAATTAGGTTTTTTGTTTTCATTGTGGAAGTTTTATTATTTTCCAACCACCTTTGTCCACAATGGCTCTAGTTGAATACGCACGGTACAACTATGCAAGGTTTGCATGCATTTGCAATTAAGATCAGATCTTGAAGAGGTGAATCAACTCAATGCATGTCCAAATCTTCCATCATTTTACATTATATTGGGAAAAAATATATAAAATATAGTACATAAAATATCGAGCAAAAACCTTAAAATCTAATATCTCCATGCTCCACTGTCCCACTATAGCTTACGTTTACGGAAAGAAAGCCATATCTTTATCATAGACGTTTACTAGACTAAATTACTAATTGGACAAAGTATAACTGTTTGCTCATTTACTGCTACAAGTAAACCAAGTTAGCTTTGTTCCACTGAAGAAGCGTTACTCTTGCGTAAATATCAAAGACATGTGAAAAAGCAGAAGTTGTGTCAGGCCTCAGTGCCGATGCATGACACAGAACTTGCAACAGTGTGAAGAAAATTACTTTCAACAGAAAAAGGCTTAGAGACTTGCTGATTGCAGCTTTTTGGGGAAATAAGAATTAAGCATCAAAGCAGGTTTGTTCATTTTATCCTTAAGAAGGCACCTCCCTGAAAAGGATGTCTAAAGGCTTATGCGGTGGATACAAAAATATTTTACTTCACCCTCCTACCTTTTTGTTCTCAATCGGCCAGCACAGCCTGGTTAGCGGGCTCACTGGAATCCATCTTATTAATTACTTTCTCTCCCCCACATGCCCCGTAACCAATCTGTGACACTGACAATGAATAACTTAGCATCCTAAATCTGCTTGGAATACAGAAATAACATGTTTTATTAGATGGTCAACTTGTGTTTTATGACCACAATACAATATCAATAGAACTCACAGCCATAGCATAATCACTGAATGCTCTCATAACTCATTTGAATGTTAATTTACCATGCGGAAGTCTCAGAGCTATCCTGACATATACAATGTTCCATTTTAGCCCATGCCACTGTGGATTTCATATTAATCATAAATTATGTTTACGAGTGTATGCACAGCATTTTAAACAGTTTAGTCATCACTAAGCTTGATTTTGATGGTTTTGTGTTTAGGTATAATTAAGACTGTACATTGAGACTAATTAAAATTGACTTTCAGTCCAATAAAAGTCCTCACATCAGAGTTCCAGCGACCAAAGCAGATGAAGCTCCAAAGGCAACACATGAATATGTTAATAGTGATTTTGTATATATGGAATATATTAAAAGGAATTTGATGATATTGAACTAAGCTTACCTTGTACATGCTCTTGACATTAAACACATTTGAGTAAAGGTTTAAAATGGAATTTATAATGTAACGTTACTATGTTTATGTAAAGCGAGAGTTGGATCTTGCTCTAATATCAGACTAATGCATAGATTGAGAACCACACTTACTAAATCCTAAATACAGTCTACAAAAAATGGCACTTTCAAAACTAGCGATAAATGTCAAACGCATAACGTGATCCATCAAACAGTCTGTAAGAGTCTGCCTGCTGGACATCGCAGTGGTCTAGTGTCTGTCTGTCACATCAGATCTGCCTAATAACAGGTGTATCCACTCTGATGCACACCGCTCCAACTGAGAAATGTTTTCCATCTAAAAGACAAGGGAGTCGGGAGTGACACTAGACTCAAAATAAAGCCTTCAACATATGCCAACAAATTTATTACACTGCGTTGTCAATTAATATGCTGGACAGCAAGAAATTAAGATACCATATGTCAATACTCACAACCTTCTCATTAAGAGCTCTGACATCTAACAAGTCCAATACAGTGTGAGGGAAAAAAAACTGTCAAGGCCTGAAATGTAATTTATAACTTACTTATAAACAAAGTCAACATGCATTTGTCATGAGCAGAATACAAGTCCACAAACAAGCAGGTGGAAATTAAATTGATACAAATAATTTGATAATTTGTGAGCGGATTTATTAAGATATGCAGCATAAAGATAGTACCAAAGAATTTTCTGACAATTCAATCTGTGATGCTTGAGACTTGGCAGGAAAATATGTCTCTCCAACAGATGACATTTGGTGTTATTTGGGAGGGTGGGCACAAATTCAACAGTAGAAATGCATGCAGTGTACTCAGAGTTGGCAAGCGTGAGATTTATTTTGGCCAAAAGACATTTTACGCTGCTGCTCCGGGTCTAACCCGGTATTAGGGAGACATATTGTGTTAAAGGAGCAAAGTCTGTTCAGTTTACTGCTTGTCCAAACACACCCGCACATTTCGATACCATTTACCACAAGTATTCTTTTTAAACACATCCCTAAAATAAAACTGTAAATCCAATTTAAATGCCAGGGTTACTTGCATCAGCAGTTAAAAAAGGACTCAATGGTTTGAAAGGCCTGCAGTGCCACCGTGTGGAAAAGCTACTTTATGGCTGTGATGTTTGTGTGCCGCTGTACTTCGCAGTTTTGTTTTCTACATTTTTTAATTTGATACTTTATTATTTTGATACAAACAGTAAAGCTATTAAGTGATCTCATCAAATAGCAAAATCAATTAATCAAATTCATTTAGTGCGGTTTCATATTGAGACTATTTGTTTCCATCAGTGGGGATCATGATGTCTCATTTTGAAGGGTTTAGGAACCGCTGCACTATGGTACAAACTACTAATGTCCAAGTGCAGGGAATAGTTTTTATTCTCATGACATTCAGCACTAGGTAGTGTGTATTAGAATTAAGGAATATGAAATATATTTACAATTTATAATAACTCAAATTGGGCGACAGTGGCTCAGTTGGTAGTGCATTGGCCTTTGAGCCTGAAGGTTGTGGGTTCGAGCCCACCACTAGACTTACTTAAGGAGTCCCACTGATGACTGCTGTCGTTGTGTTAAGTGTCTTGGGCAAGACACTTAAACTCGCTTTGCCTGAAGCCCCCGCTGAAAGATCAAAGCTCCTGTGGACTGACCACCTGCAGGAGGATCAGTGAGGGGCTGTTGTTGGGTGTACTGGCTGCAGTACGCTCAACAACAGTCAGAATTTTGATTTACCAAAATATTAGGCAGGACTAGATAGATGCCATTTATATTTTGCCTAAGCTGGTACAAAATGATAACCACTGAACATTTATTTTTGCAAAATAAAATTATTACCTTTAAAATATTGTGTGATTCTTTCCACTTAATGGTCCACTCTTTAGTCAGTGCTGCAACCTACGGGAAACAAAGACTCAATCATCAACAAATAAATCCCACATAATGCTCAATTTATCCATTAGACAGATGACACACTTCGGCCTCTTTTATGTTCAACTTTTCTTCAACTTTCACACAGGATAATGCTTCTTTGGGAACCTGCAAAATGAACAGATACAGAACTTCTGTGTTTGCAATAGCTTTAGTTTTTGGAGAATTGCACCATGCTGGACCTGATTAGCGTCCTCTAGTAGCTTTCTCAGCTGTGCTATCTCCGCCTGAAGCCCGCGGATCACCTTCACACTCTTATCTTCATTCACTTTTGGAGAGTTGACTATGTTTTTAGCCCTGCTCGCATAATGCAAAGTGCTCACAGTCTCTGCGTAGTTTCCTTCAGCCGGAGAAACAGCTAAAAAAGGTCAAAGAAATGTTGAGCAGACAGGTCAAGAAGTATGGAAATGCAAGGATTAAGCGATTAACTTTGTCATTTCCAATTAAAAACAACGGTATAGCGATAAGATTATGGCAAGTCTTAACACAATTTGGGTAATGCATGAGTCAGCCGTTTATAAGGCATACTTGCGATCATTGTCGTCTTGGAGTTTCCGCCCAAGCTGTCTTTGAGAAGCCACGTTAGCACCGAGTCTCTGTACGGAATAAAGATCTGCTTCTTTCGCTTTGTCGTGACTATATTTTGGAACAGGACTTCAAAAAAAGGTTGAATATAAATTAGTTTTTATAGATGACAAAGAGTTGAGGACAGAAGCAGCAAGAAGGTATACAAGGTATGAGTTTGATCTACATTTCTTATCTACTTTTTAATGAAAAAGAACATGTGACTAACAGACAAAGAAAAATAAACTACAGGTAAGGGTAGTAAAGCTTTAACTAACAATTGCTTTGAGTAATTTGAATATGTATGAGATTATATTTAAATTTGACAAAATAAAGCCGCCGGCGGACATCCATATAGCTTTATTTCCCAGAACAGGCCCCATTATTCAGTATAGAAATGTTCCCAAAGCACACCATACTGATGGAAAATTATTCCATGTCTAACAACAAAATATATATTATTACAACAGTCTTACAAGGTGTTGCATCTCCAAAGTATTTAATAATGAATGTGCATTGTTTGTTTACCGAGGGTTGAGATCACACAGCCCAAAGTGACAAGAGACTTGTTGATGTTGGCGGCTTCTTTCAAGCGGGTCCCTGTGGAGCGGGAGGCATCAGCCCTCTCACTTCCTGCTAGGTCGACCAGGTGGATCTTACTCACTGTCTCACAGGGCAGAGAGTCCTCAAGCCAGGCCTGCAGCACACATTCATGTACATCAAGGGGGCAAGGAACACCAAAAAGACAGAAAAATAAACAGGTTTGTGACACATGGGGTGCATTTTTAACAAACTAGAGAACATTGTGCCGTCTATCTTATAAGAAGAGGGGGGAGCATAAAAAGACATGCATGCATATGAAAACATTGACATACATTGCACTTACCCGTGTAAATCTAATTGTGAAAATGGCATGAGAACGACTGCTGGTGTCATTCAAGTCTGTGCTGGCCGTGGTCCGATTTGAATTTCCCAATAACAAAAGCTCATCTATGTCACTGTAACTTTGCACCAAATGTCTGGTCAGATCTATAAAAGGAATACAAGTGTAAAGAACAAATTACAGAAGACTGAGTTCAGATGTTTTGGTGATAGGAAAGGGTCCGTTTTGAGATGTGCTAATGTGAAGTAATAATTTAATACTTTTTATTTATTCGAATGGCGCAGCATGCATGAATGAAAAGTAAGTAATTTAAATAGACTGGATTGTAAGCCCATGTGCAAAGGCCAAATACTGTATGATGCAGAGAAATGATTGTGTTCTGGAGAATAAAGTATTGCCATCACTGCAGTAAACCAAACACTAATGAATTCTATGAGTGAGTCATTCACATGACCCCATAATGAAGTCTTGTTGAGTGGAATTAGTAGAGTTATGTTTCCTTCATAGTTGAGCTCAGAAAGTGAAAAAACAGCGTTTTACTTTGCACATAGGGTCCTTCCTTAGGGTGCTCTCTGACTTTCAAACGGCTCCGATCGGCAGCTGTTGAACTCTTCTGGAGGAGATCTTGCACACCTTCGTTGTAAATCTCCAAAAAACTTGAGAAGCAATAGATTGCAAATTATTCCTGTTATATTGTGAAAATGCAGAAAAAAGGCACATTTTTCATGAAACATTTCACTATTCACGTAGATGACATTTCTCCAGACAGGGGAATTATTTTTTGAATTACATCCAATTCACAGTGACGAGAGATGAGCACTGGTTTTGGAACTAAATTATGTGGCTGCATTGTTCTGCTTGGCTTGGCAATGAATAAAACAAACATATGCAAAGCAGCTTCTGGCAGAAAATGTCCATCAATACCATTAGAGTGTGAAAGTGAGAGTCAAAAACAATGCGAGACAGGGAGCAATCAAGTTTTCTAAAAGCGTGACAGTAATGGGAATGGCACCAACTGTATCCAGCTGCCAGAGATTCTTTGGCACAATAAAGAAACACGTCTCAGAGCGCACATCTCCAAACTGTAATCCAACATGGTACATCCAATTGTACAGTGGAACATTATACAGAATGCAATGTATTTTAATGAAGTTTCATGAAAAAGAAAAATTAAAACCTGGACTCTGAGCTCCTGTAATGGGCCTGAAACATGAGATTTGCGTTTCCAATAATCTACTTTGGGCTGCATTTCCTTTTTGCCATAATAGAATTTACATTGCATCTAATGCAAGGCTGTGATTGGATTTAAAGAGCCATGTCTTTGTGGGCGTTATGAAAAAAAAAAAAAAAAAACTGAAATTTAGAACATTTTATTAATCTACACTTATCCTCCTGAAGGTGGATGGCACAGCCTTGATCTTTCAGTGGGGGAATCAGGCAAAGCAGGGTTACGTTTCTTGCTCAAGGACACAGAGACAGCACGTCAGAGGTAGGTGGAGAAGGTCTCGTGGGGGGTTTGAACCCACAACCTTCAGGCCCAACTGAGCCACTGTCACCCCACAGCCAATCTTATTGCACAGCCTAATATTTACAAAAGTGAGAAAAATGAGTAGTTTTCATGCTGTTTTTTCATCAAAATGAGTGAGAATCTTTTCAGTAACCCTGCTCCATTTCTGCCATAGGATTCGGGTCAATTTTTGCCACACATACATACATCATGAAGATCTTACCTGACCTCTGTATGAAATGACACTTCACTCTTGCTTTTCTCTGCAATCTGCTGGAACAGACCTTCACAAATCCGTGGAATCAAACCCTTATCTTCCTGAAGAAAAATAATTTAACCCATCTTAATGATACCAGGTCACACTGTAGTTTTTAATAAATATTTTGTCATTATGCACATTTGGTCTAATTTGGAGACATGTGACCATTGCACAATATAGAGCTGCTGAACACTAACACAGCTCATCAGATAAGGAATCAGCGAAGCATAAAAGCAATTCCACTTTGAGCAGCAGCGTGCCCCCTTGTTTTAATTACAAACTAACAGATAGTGTAAGTACTGAGACTCCTTTATAATTATCGTGGGTGTTGACAACAGCACTGCCTTTAACCTTGTACGAATCACCAGGCAGAAAACAAGAAGCCTCATTGGCCGGGTGAGATTTCCCCAGCTGAATGAGGAGAAGAGAAAAGCTGTGGGCTGCTTCCCTCATCACTTTTGGTTTAAAAACAGCAGCATAGACATAAGATGGGGAAGGACAACATATGACCTGTACAGTTTAAATCAATCGGTATAATACATTGCATTATTGAAGACACTAATTTCAAGTGCAATTCTGCTAAAAATGTTTGATTTAGTTACTTACTAAAGTTAGTTGATTAGTGGTGATGTGCAAGTCAAGAAATAATGTAATATAAATCCTAACATATTATTATGAATTCAATGCAGATGTAGACAACAGTGAGCTTTACTACATAGGTTGGAAATCTATTGTTAGGGCCTACCTTGAAACCCATCATGGTATAAGACTTTCCGGAACCAGTTTGTCCATAGGCAAATACACAGGTGTTAAAGCCCTCAAAAGCAGCTTTGATGACATCAGATCCCAAATCTTTATAAATCTAGATAAGAAAGAGCAAATGAAATTATCAGTTGCTGCACATTACATTTCTAAAACAAGTGTTGCCATTTCTTAACCTACTTTTTCTTGTGATGCAAATGATGAGCTGTGTGGATCAGTGGAATCATAGGAGAGGTCAAAATAAAATGTCTTGGGCTCTTCTCCACGATTTGAAAGGCCAATGGGCTTTAAATTACACATTTTAAATCAAAAAGGCGGATATTGTTTTAGGCTGCTTCCAACTTGTACCAACAGGTATTTGTTGATACAACCATAAACAATTAAATTAAATGAGCATCATATAAATTCTACAGTGTAGAATAGTAAAGTATGCTGAATAATAACTTTTGTATTATTTATATTTATGGTTGTTTAAGATACCTTGTAAATTGTTGTACTGCCTCCCTTCACTTCAACAATAACCTTGGAAGATACTTCATTTTCTCTGACAAAACAAAACGTGGTCCTTCATATAATATTTGGTTTGGCGTATTTTAATTATGAGAAATATGTAATAAACTCATACCTTTCATCCAGGGGCCGGACTCGCACGGCCACGCGCACTGAAGCCATAATGATTGAGATAAATCAATAAGCAACAAAGTGATTCTCTGTTTTAAACGTTCTTGTCTTAAAACTAAAATAAACCAAATATCTTATGTCGGCGCTGGCACCTGCGTCCAGCCCGTGTTGAAACAAACCATTCCACCACCTAATCATCACACCTGCTCATCAAAGAGTTGAATTATTTCCTACGGTACGTCAATGCAACATGAAAGTAATGGATTTAGCTAAACTTGTAATATGTAAAAAACAAAAAATGATACAACGCATTCTGATACTAAGATATTTTATTGTAATATGATATGTATTTATTTATGTATTCATTCATAGTTAATATGTTATTATAATAGATCCATGGTTAAAATTTAGTGTTGCCAGCATATGTTTACGCTTACCATTGAACGCATCATTTTACCTCACTGTTTCCCATGATGCAGTGCGAACAACATCCGCGCCGACATTCAAAAGTATGGAAGAAAACGCGAGCACTTTAAAACTGGAAACAAAACATGCCAATATAGACGTTTCACCCGTCAAAGATAGCAAAGATGAAGAGACAGAAAGAAGGCAGTCGTGTACGTCTGAAAATGACTCCAATACATCGCCTTTATCGCCAAATATGACCGAGGTGCACATTGTGGCCGTAAATGAGACGGGTCCAGACAAACTCACCGCGGAAATCAATGAGGCGATATCAGAAAAGAATACGAAATCCTGCGTTAAAACGAAAAACGACAGTGATGTTGATGAGGACTTGTCGGAAATACATCACAAGTGCTCCGAAAACAAGGAAAACGACCCCAAGACACAAAGTAATCTCTCTTTAGGTGAGCAATCAATTCTTCATAAGTATGTATGTCTGTGTATTCCCCATAGACTGTATGTCATTTTGATTTTAGAGTCTATCTATGGTATTCCTTTGCTTTGCTCTGATCTGCTTGAAGTTTACAGCATTTTTCCAGCCCCAGTGTGTTGTAGTGTACTGAACAAAATATAATAATAAACCTTACTTCAAACTCCTGACTTCTACTTTGGGATGTATCGACCCCATATTCAGTATCGGTATCGGGGGCCGATATGGGTATTTTGTAAGGATCGGATATAGTCGGATTTGTTAAATATCCGGGAGTTTACATTTACAGAGTTCACACACTGGTTAAGTACTGGCTTTTTGTGGTCATTCAGTTATGTACCAGCTCTTTTCTTACCGAGGTGAAGTTGGCCGAACGTTTGATATTCGCCTGATATTCGCAAGGGACCGTCTGCAAATTGCAAGAGTTCAAAACGACTAATAAAGACTAAAAATCAACAAAGATATTTTTTCCCAGAATTGATGGGTGTAGTAGCTCCCATTTAATGATAGCTAGCTACTACAGCCAAACTTTTGGGAAAAATATGGTTTTCCCCTTCCCAGTAACAAAAATGAAATTGGAAAAATTCACTAAAAATCAACAAAGACAGTTTTTCCAGTTTCGATGGGTGTAGTAGCTCCCAATGAACAATAGCTAGCTACTACAGGCAAGAATTTGGGAAAAATATGGTTTTCCCCTTCACAGTAACAAAAATGAAATTGGAAAAATTCACAAAAAATCAACAAAGACTTTTTCCCAGTTTTGATGGGTGTAGTAGCTCCATTTGAGCAATAGCTAGCTACTACAGGCAAGATTTTGGGAAAAATATGGTTTTCCCCTTCACAGTAACGAAAATGAAATTGGAAAAATTCACTAAAAATCAACAAAGATTTTTCCCCCAGTTTTGATGGGTGTAGTAGCTCCATTTGAGCAATTACTAGCTACTACAGGCAAGAATTTGGGAAAAATATGGTTTTCCCCTTCACAGTAACGAAAATGAAATTGGAAAAATTTACTAAAAATCAACAAAGACAATTTTCCCAGTTTTGATGGGTGTAGTAGCTCCCATTTAATGATAGCTAGCTACTACAGCCAAACCTTTGGGAAAAATATGGTTTTCCCCTTCACAGTAACAAAAATGAAATTGGAAAAATTCACTAAAAATCAACAAAGATTTTTCCCCCAGTTTTGATGGGTGTAGTAGCTCCATTTGAGCAATAGCTAGCTACTACAGGCAAGAATTTGGGAAAAATATGGTTTTCCCCTTCACAGTAACAAAAATAAAATTGGAAAAAATTACTAAAAATCAACAAAGACTTTTTTCCCAGTTTTGATGGGTGTAGTAGCTCCCATTCAATGATAGCTAGCTACTACAGGCAAGAATTTGGGAAAAATATGGTTTTCCCCTTCACAGTAACAAAAATGAAATTGGAAAAAATCAACAATAGCTAGCAACTACAGGCAAGAATTTGGAAATATATATATACAGTGGGGCAAAAAAGTATTCAGTCAGCCACCGATTGTGCAAGTTCTCCCACTTAAAATAATGAAAGAGGTCTGTCATTTTCATCATAGGTACATTTAAACTGTGAGAGACATAATGTGAAAAAAAAAATCCAGGAATTGACATTTTTAAAGAATTTATTTGTAAATTATGGTGGAAAGTAGGTATTTGGTCAATAACAAAAATTCAACTCAATACCTTGTAATATAACCTTTGTTGGCAATAACAGAGGTCAAACGATTACTATAGGTCTTTATCAGGTTTGCACACACAGTAGCTGGTATTTTGGCCCAACTCCCTCACAGATTTTCAATGGGGTTGAGGTCTGGAGACTGGTTAGGCCACTCCAGTACTTTCAAATGCTTCTTACGGAGCCACTCCTTCGTTGCCCGGGCGGTGTGTTTAGGATCATTGTCATGCTGGAAGACCCAGCCACGTTTCATCTTCAAAGCTCTCACTGATGGAAGGAGGTTTTGGCTCAAAATCTCACAATACATGGCCCCATTCATTCTTTCCTTAACACAGATCAGTCTTCGTGTCCCCTTAGCAGAAAAACAGCCCCAAAGCATGACGTTTCCACCCCCATGCTTCACAGTAGGTATGGTGTTCTTGGGATGCAACTCAGTATTGTTCTTCCTCCAAACACGACGAGTTGAGTTTATACCAAACAGTTGTACTTTGGTTTCATCTGACCACATGGTTTTTTTTTTTCAGTCTTATACAGTGACTTAAAGTGACTTATTGTACAGTCTGACAGCAGTGGGGATAAAGGCCCTGCGGTAGCGCTCCTTCCTACACTGAGGGTGTCTCAGTCTTCCACTGAAGGAGCTCCTCAGCTCCTCTACAGTCCTGTGCAGTGGGTGGGAGGTGTTGTCCATGATGGAGGTGACTTTGACTAGACCCTCCTGTCCCTCACCTCCTCCACAGAGTCCAGGGAGCAGCCCAGAGTGGAGCTGGCCCTCCTGACCAGCTTGTTCAGTCTGTTTCTGTCCCGCTCTGTGCTGCCCGGGGCCCAGCACACGGCAGCGTAGTAAATGGCAGATGCTACCACAGAGTCATAAAAGGGCCTAAGCAGAGGCCAGCTCACTCCGAAGGACCTCAGCCCCCTCAGAAGGACCTCAGCCTCCTCAGAAGAAAGAGGCGACTTTGGCCCTTCTTGTGCAGGGCGTTTTTATTATGGGACCAGTCCAGTTTATTGTTAATGTGAACACCCAGGTACTTGAAGCTGTCCACCAGCTCAATGTCCTCCCCCTGGATGTTCAGAGGCGTGTGGGAAAGTGGTTTCCTCCTGAAATCGATCACCATCTCCTTGGTCTTACTGGTGTTCAAGCACAAGTGGTTGCGCTCACACCAGTCGACAAAGTCTGTGATAACCTACCGATATTCCAGATCGTTCCCCTCAGACACACAGCCCTCGATGGCGGAGTCGTCGGAGAACTTCTGCAGGTGACAGCTGTGTGTGTCGTGTGTGAAGTCTGAAGTGTAGATGGTGAAGAGAAACGGTGAGAGGACAGTGCCCTGAGGGGCCCCAGTGCTGCAGACTACCACCTCAGACTCACAGCTGCGCAGCCGCACGTACTGTGGTCGGTCCGAGAGGTAGTTGATGGTCCATGCAGTGAGGCTACTGTCCACTCCCGCGTCCTCCATCTTCCCCCGCAGCAGTGCCGGTCTGATGGTGTTGAAAGCACTGGAGAAGTCGAAGAACATGACCCTCACAGCGCTCCCGGCAGGGATGACGGCGTCCTCTACTCCGATGTTGGGCCTGTAGGCGAACTGCAGCGGGTCCAGGGTGGGGCTGACCACGGAGCGGAGATGGGTGAGGATGAGCCGCTCCATGGTCTTCGTCAGGTGGGAGGTCAGTGCGACTGGTCTGTAGTGAGCCGGTTCCTTGGCGTGCTGTGTTTTAGGAACCGGGATGACACAGGAGGTCTTCCACAGGACAGGGACCTTCTCCAGGCTGAGGCTCAGGTTGTACATGTAGCTGAGGACCCCAGAGAGCTGGTCTGCACAGGTCCTCAGCAGCCTGGGACTGATCCCGTCCAGTCCTGCGGATTTCCACTGCTTCAGTCGCTGGAGCTGACTCTTCACCGGGTCCGGTGTGATGGAGGGGGGGGAAGACTGGGGTGTATTGTCAGAGGTGGGGGGCGGGGATGTGGGGGCAGGAGGGCCCAGGGCAGCCAAAGGCAGTGTCCAGGGCAGCCAAAGGCAGTGTCCAGGGCAGCCAAAGGCAGTGTCCACTGGGCGGTGTCCACTGGGCTGGGGACGTGTGAAGAGGTGGGGGCGGGAGGGGGGGGGCAGATGGAGAGGGGGGAGAATCAACCCGGTTGAAGAATTGGTTAAATTCATCTGTCCCGCTAGCCCTTTGTCCACGGAAAGAGATGTTCTTTAGGCCTCTCCACACGTCACGGGCGTTTCCCTGGGCCAGCTTCTGCTCCAGCTTTTTCCCATATTCCCTCTTGGCCCTCCTGATCCTCCACTGGAGCTCGTGCTGGACCCTCTTCTGCTCCTCTTTGTCCCCTGAGATGAAAGCCCTTTTCTTGAGGTTCAGGAGGGCTTTAAGCTCAGAGGTCATCCATGGGTGGTTGTTAGAAAAACACCGTACCTTCTTAGTTGGTACAGGGTTATTCACACAGAAGAGGATATAGTCTGTAATACAGTGTGTCAGGCCAATATCATTATTCCTACTGTGAAGGGGAAAACATTTGTTTCCCCAAATTCTTGCCTGTAGTAGCTAGCTATCATTTATTGGGAGCTACTACACCCATCAAAACTGGGGAAAATATCTTTGTTGATTTTTAGTAAATTTTTCCAATTTCATTTTCGTTACTGTGAAGGGGAAAACCATATTTTTCCCAAATTCTTGCCTGTAGTAGCTAGCTATCATTGAATGGGAGCTACTACACCCATCAAAACTGGGAAAAAAGTCTTTGTTGATTTTTTTGTGAATTTTTCCAATTTCATTTTCGTTACTGTGAAGGGGAAAACAATATTTTTCCCAAATTCTTGCCTGTAGTAGCTAGCTATTGCTCAAATGGAGCTACTACACCCATCAAAACTGGGGGGAAAATCTTTGTTGATTTTTAGTGAATTTTTCCAATTTCATTTTCGTTACTGTGAAGGGGAAAACCATATTTTTCCCAAATTCTTACCTGTAGTAGCTAGCTATTGCTCAAATGGAGCTACTACACCCATCACAACTGGGAAAAAAGTCGTTGTTGATTTTTAGTGAATTTTTCTAATTTCATTTTTGTTACTGTGAAGGGGAAAACCATATTTTTCCCAAATTCTTGCCTGTAGTAGCTAGCTATTGTTCATTGGGAGCTACTACACCCATCAAAACTGGGAAAACTGTCTCTGTTGATTTTTAGTAAATTTTTCCAATTTCATTTTCGTTACTGTGAAGGGGAAAACCATATTTTTCCCAAAGGTTTGGCTGTAGTAGCTAGCTATCATTGAATGGCAGCTACTACACCCATCAAATTTGGGAAAAATATCTTTGTTGATTTTTAGTGAATTTTTCCAATTTCATTTTTGTTACTGTGAAGGGGAAAACCATATTTTTCCCAAATTCTTGCCTGTAGTAGCTAGCTATTGTTCATTGGGAGCTACTACACCCATCAAAACTGGGAAAACTGTCTTTGTTGATTTTTAGTACATTTTTCCAATTTCATTTCCATTACTGTGAAGGGGAAAACCATATTTTTCCCAAATTCTTGCCTGTAGTAGCTAGCTATTGTTCAAATGGAGCTATTACACCCATGGATGTATTATATTCAAAACTGGGAAAAACTACTTTTTAAAAGCAGTTTTTATTGTATTCACCAACCCATCTGCAACGTTCTGTCAAATCTTGCACTTTGCAGACGGTCCCTTGCTGAGAGCTTATAACACGTACGAGCGGAGACTTCATCTTCATTGTTTTTCGTGTTATAAATCGTCAGCTGCAGCCTAAGTAATGTTTTTTTTATATAGGTGGCAACATTGTGAACAGTATTTAATACTACACTCTTCACTAAACTGAAAATACGGACAGACTTTGAATCCAGGGGGATTTTGTTCGAATATCAGGCGAATATCAAACGTTCGGCTAACTTCACCTCTGTTCTTTACCTTTTGTTTTACTGAATGTTGAGGGCCGCTTTTTGATACTTGTTCCTCTTTGATATTTCTTTTATTTTAAATTTATTTTAAAGGTGAAATATTCAATACTGATGTGATTCTTACCTATGACCTAACTCAGTAGGTCTGTTAAGCAAAAGCCAAACAATATTTTTGATCATGTTATAAAAAAAAAAAAAACATTTTAAAGTAATACTGGTTGCAAAAAAAAAAAATTATGCTTTGAAAATATTAGAAAAAATTTGATCGGTATCGGCAAAACAATATTTAAGAATATCGGATCGGATTACAAAAACTCTGGATCGGTACATCCCTACTTGTTCTTGTCCTGGAGTAATTGTTTGTTTATTTCCATGTTTAGGTTTGTGTCTCGCCCGACCCATACTTGGCACTTGAATATTTTGACCCTGAATCTGTTATGTTCATTCTTGATAGATAGCAATAAGGGCACGCTGCACGCACTGGATGAGAGAAATGAAGACTCCAACCGAGAAATTTCAGAATCCAAGAGCAGCGGTGAGGATTTGGATGCAGAGATCTTGAAGAGGGCTCAGGACGAGGGGTGTGTGAGTGTGGCGTTTCCTGGGACGATTACGCAGGACGGATGCTGCCGATTTGTCAGTGAGATACTCAAGTGTGTGCTCTATCAAAGGCAGCAGCTTCCAATGACTTATGACCAACTCGTGTACTCACAAAAAAAACTGCAGGCGTCAGTGCAGGTAAATACAAATAAGGACAACACATGCATTACTCTTGATACGTGACATTGTCCATTTATACTTTTGTGTGTTATGTTTCCCGAGGACAAAGACACTGTGAAAAGGAGACCAGCAGACATGGACTGGAGGAAGTGTCAGCAGACCCTGCAGGAGCTGGAGGAAGTATTGCAGCATCTGGAGGTGCTCTTTTCTCTGAGCAGAGTCCCCCGCGTGCTGCTGCTGATGGGTGGCACCTTGCTCCTCCCTAAAGAGTTTTATGAGATCAACATGGAAGCTTTGGTCCTGGCTTCCGGAGAGAAAAGCTTGCGTGTTTCATCCTGTTTAAGGCAGGTCTTCCGCAACCTCTTTGTGGCAGATTTTTTGTCCGACACCAAACCGGTTCGTTTAATGCCCACTACCGTAATGGTGCTGGCTCACAGAGACTGTGGCGTTGACTGGTTTCGTCCCAAACAACAATTTAAAGTCCCAACTCGAGTCAAAAGCAAGGTCATTGCACTGTCTACAGACCTCTGCTCCGGCAAGGATCTACAAAGGGACGAGTTGGATGGTAATGATTATATATGGTTTCAAGCACCAATGACGATAAAGGGCTTCAGCAACAGGAAGGCGTAAGAAATTGTTTATTTTAGTTCTTAAAAATATACCAAACAATTGGAAACTTTAAATGAATTTATTTAGAGAAAACCACACATTAGAACCTCTTTTAAGGAAGTGTTTTGCTGGTTAGTGCTAATGATTGTTATGATATATAAAAATAATAAATTAACCATGAGTGCAATACTTTTTGAGCTATAAAGTGCTGTTTTCAATTAAATGCCTGCTAGAAAGTTTTAATAACTGTTTGGTCAATAAAATGGTTTTCAATCCCAGTTAATTTCTCATTCTATATTATGATGATGCCTGGGAAAGCACTTGCACCAAAAGCATTTATTCAAATTTTAGAGGTTCAGAGGTTTGCACTGAAACATTTACTACTTCTCCACTTTATTGACAAAACAAAAAATGTCATCAGCCAGTAGTTTGGGCTCTTCAAAAGCGGCAAAGTGACCACCTCGAGGCATTAATGTGTAGGAGTAAGTGTTTCTGTACTTATTTTTGGCCCATCTCTCAGGGCAGTACAACAGCTCATTGGGGAACGCAGCCAATCCAGCCGGGACAAACACATTGGTTCTAAAAACAAAAAAGGGTATTACAAATACATTTTCAAGTGGTTAAATAAATGATTGATCTTACAAGTGATCAATTCTCTTGTCCATGTTGGAAGACAGGTTTTCCTTGTAGAAACGCATAGAGGATACAATGGAGCTGGTGGTCCAGTAGATCATGATCACAGTCAGCAGTTCATCCAGGGTGAATTTCCTGTTGGATCACAATGTTTTCTTTAAATTATTGTTATTGAACCTCTTGCAGTATTTTAAATTCAGATTGTACCTCTCTAAACCACCATCATCAAGGAATCTGTTGTTTGAGTCGGTCCAACTTGAGAACTTTTCCAGTATATAAGCAGCCAGGCCAACAGGAGAGTCATTCACGCCACAGCCTGTATGTCAGTATAAAAAGTCTGCAAAATGTATAAAATTATACAAATAATGTGTTCACCCAACCTGCTGTGTCCGGTTTGGTGCCTTGAATGTGCATGTAGCCAGTCTCTCTCAATCGCGCATACACATTTTTCTCAATGAAAGGAAACAGCCGCTTGACATCCTCTCTACTGAATCCAACCAGAAAGGGCAGATATCGTCCAACAACCAGAGAAAAGCACTCCTTTAATCCACTTCTCGTCATAAACATGTTCAAATGGAGTCCTTTTACACATCTAAACATTGGACACAGATTAGCATTTCATTAGAATTTGTAACCCAGACAGTGCATTCTCTAGATATCCAGTGTCAGCTTTTTAGACAAATGCTACACAACGACATCCCTGTTCACCTAAATATGCAACAATAATCTAATTTGAAGACAAAGACAGTTATGCATCTTTTTGTAACTTACTCAGGCTTCATTTGTGACATGTTGGTGGTGATGAGGGAGCCCCAGTCTCCTCCTTGCAGGTAGAACTGTGAAAAGCCAAGACGATCCATCAAGGTCAAGAAAACACGGGCAGCTGCAAGGCTATTGAATCCTGTGTAGAAAATAGTGATCAGTGAGGTAATTGTCATGCAAAGTTATACACAAGACTTTAGATGTAGAAGTCTAATTGGCATTTGAATTCATTATAAGGATTCATTGTAACAGCAGCACTTGGAGTCAATGACATGATATGGAGTCTGCCAATTCAGTTTTTAAATGAGCCAGAAATGTTACTTATGCAGTTCATAATCTGTATGCTAGGTGTTGTAAGTATCCTCAGCAGAACTTGGAATTCTATTGTTTAATGATATTATTTCATATTGGCTACCCCTAGATAATTATCAGTGATGGCAAAATCCTGCACCCAAACTAGAAGAAAAAAAACATCAAAATATTGTGTAAATGGGGTGCGCAAACCTGTTTTGTGAGGGGCTTCAGAGTAGCCATAGCCAGGAATAGATGGGCAGATCACCTCAAATACAACACCACCATGAGTTTCTGTGAGAAGTGGAATAATCTTGAAGAACTCATAGATGCATCCGGGCCAGCCATGAACAAGCATGAGAGGCAAAACCTTCTGGTGGGCCTGGCATTGTGGTCGCACATGGATAAAGTGCACATCCAAACCTACATAAAAAAATGATTAGTTTTTGGAAAGTAGGAACAAATGAATGAATGCCTTGTTAAAACGTCTTGCTTCATCCTTTTTCAATCATATTCATTGAACCAAGATAAAACATTGGTAGTAGAAAATGCCAGACACAACTTTTTAGTGTTGTGGCAGTACAGTCAGTCTTCTCTTAATACTTAATCTTTGAAATCACATACATGACCCTCAAACTAGTGAATAATTACCTTGCGATTACAATAGTTGACCCTATGCTATCTGCAATCTTGTTGATCAATTCCGGTTTTGTAATCTCCTTTGGTGTACCAACCAAAGCTTATGAGTACTACCTTCAATTTTGGTTTTGTAGTGTGGATACTTGTTCAGCATATCTACTTGTTTCTTCCAATCAAACTCGTGTCTCCAATAGGAAACCACTTTCTTCAAATAAGTTGAGTTAAAGCCATAATTGAAAGCACTGTCCTCCAATGGATCTGCAAACCGTGTGCGGTCAATTCGCTCATGCAAATCCTGAAAGGAAGAAGGAATATATAATTTTTACAACCATATTCGCACATGCCAAATTTATGGATGACATGTGTTACCAGTAATACAACATACATCTATCATACAGCTGATCACTTACCTGGATCTCTTTGTCTGAGGTCTCCACTTTGAAGCTATAGACTTTTGTATCTTCAGACAGTGGTTTCACCCCTGCTCCCCACCATCCTTCACCAAGAGGGATTCTTTTTCTCTCCCTCCTGAAAAAAGTAAGACTTATGCCCCCAACCACCAGTGCAGAGGCTACCAATAGACGCTGCTGAACCACGTCCAAAGCTAAGAAAGTATCTCTTGAGGGTTAGAAGAAATAGATTACAATTACTTTCACAGTTTTAGCTTCAATACTTGAATTGGACAGTAGTGCACTTACTTCAAATCGAGCAGTCGCTGCATTGTGTTGTTGCGTGAGTGGCGTATCAATAATTAATCCAACACACAAGGACAAAACTCTTTCTTACATTCGCACAAGATGGACTCCAAAGCATCAAGAACAACAGCAAACTATTTCTTCAGACTGGTGAAGTTCCGGAGATGGTACAGGGGTGATATGGAGATAGTTTTGACCCCTAATTCGGCCAATACCAGAGACTAGGAGGAGGAAAACAGAAACTGCGTGCAAAGATCGTTGATTGGTCAGAGGATATGCAACTCCAAATGTAAAAAAAAAACACACACACACCCCACGGAGTGACGTAGACCCATGGATGTATTATAATATCGACGTAGACCAAACAAGGAAACAGGTGAACTACGCCATCGCAGATCATGAAGGAAACTTTGGTGGCAATTGTGTTATTTGGAGCGTGTGTTGGTGCGTTTGGAGACTTGGTCGGAGGACTACGTGATGTTGACCTGAACAACAAAGATGCGTCTGTAGCCCTGGAGTACGTCGTTCATAAACATAACTTAAAAAATAATTATTTGGCCACCGTAGCCGAGGTGCTGAGTGCTCAAAAACAGGTAAGAATTTTGTTAATATTTAAGTTGTGTTATGATGCTTAACACTGCTAAGATAGAGTATAATATTATTCAAATCATGTTCCCACTTTTTTCATGACTATTTGCGTCTATGGGTTATTATTGTCAGGTGGTGGCAGGAATGCTGTACACTTTCACTGTAATAATGGAAAGAACAACCTGCTCAAAGGACTCTGTGAATGTGGCGTGTTCCAGGCCCCAGGTATGTGCATACACTTATTAAACTATACAACTCAAATATAATGAAATGGAACTTTGTATGTAACTGAAAAATACTTTTGCAGGCATACAAGTGCACATTTACACTGTGGAGCCGTCCATGGATGGAATCACCTGACATGCAAAAGATTGTGACTGAAAATTGCACGGATTAGACACCTGTTAGATGTAAAAAAAATGTCAAATAATCTAATTAGGTCAATTGTCATATTTGTCATGAACAGGGAAACTGCCTTTTATATTTTTTATAAATTCTCACCATCAATTGGGATAAATTGTGTTTGAATAACCTGAATCGGAACAAAACCAATTAAAACACAAATGTCTGCAAAACAATCTATCTCTTTTTATCAATGCTTTCTTCAAAATAAGAAGTAGAGGTAACATATTGCCATTTTTTGTAATGTGATGTGAGCTGGGGCAGGCTTGTCCAACTTTTAAAGGCCAAAAAATTGACAAGTTATAAAATCCATCTAGTTCTTCACTCGTGCATGTCTTGTTTTCTTTAAATCAGTTTACTTTTCAAACAGAAAATTTAAAAAGTCATTTTCACTCATAAAAATACCACGTGTTGTTTTAAGACTGCATGTTGTTATTTTTATTATTTTTAACAAGACTGGATCAAGCAGAACAAAAAGTTAGACCCCCTTTTAAAACTATAGGCAGTATGTACAAATCAATATTAATTCACATTAAACCACATTTGCAGACAGACTACCACTCTACATGATTAAGAATTAGTGAAAAAGCTCTCGAACATGTTAAGGAAACATTTAGCCTGTTTATTTGTTAAATGTGGGGAAAATGATATACTTGTTAGAAGTGTAGTGCCCCAGCTTTAACCATAGACTATAAAACAAAAAACAAATGAAGCTTTAACCCTCTCGTCTCTGTTACGTAATGTTGACGCATGCGCAGAACCGCTGTTTTCGTTGTCTGTTATTCGAGGCTTGAAACAGCAGCAGCAGCAGCAGACAACATGAAGTCCGCCGCATCTGTCGTGATTTTCGCTGTGTTTTTATCTGGTGCGTGGTGTGCCATGACTGGAGCGTTGAAGGACATGGATGTGAACGACACTGTGGTGCAAGACGCTTTAACTTTTGCTGTCAACAAGCACAACATGGGCACAAACGACGTGTTCAGGAACGATGTGGTCCGAGTGGTCAAGGCTCAGTCTCAGGTCAGCACTTTTATTATTTTGGATTTCTTCTAACATTTAGCGCTGATTATGTTTCCTTACACCCTTTAGTTGTGTTCAAGTATCTGTGTTAACTGCGAAGCTGTTGAATCCCAGGCGCCATTGTTAATAGGTTTACCCTGTTCAGACTGGCCAGTGATTCATTCGGGAGGGGTTTGTTGGTGGTTGACTAATCCCCTTGTCCTGTGATATAAGGTATTACACAATGGCGATAGCGATGTTGTTTTTATTCTCCATTTCAAGTTTCCATTTCTACTTCCGGGTGGATCATCAAGACTATTGGTCCTCCTAGTTTCACTCATTCTAGTGATATGTGCTTGTCAAATAAGACCAGAGTTTGGTTGAGTGTGGTTCCTTCCCTCGAGTTTGGGAAAATCCTCCTATATAGTTACATTAAGAGATCTATCATAAAATTAAGCTGTTTAAAATCTCTAGCTTTAGCATAATAAGGAAAGAATCTAAAATCTCCATCTTTAGAATGATGATGCAGCAAGACTTAACAGTTAAGTACAAAAACTTTAGTATCATATATCACGAGCAAGTGTACTATTCTGTGTATTCTTGTGCAAGTAATATAAAGCTGTGTGTATACGTGTACATGTTAGATGCATGAGGGTCTGGTACAAAGTGACTCAGTAAAGTAACAGTAACACATGTGGTGCTATATTGGATTTTTTGACATTATTAGAACATTTAGGATCTTGACCTATTGGTGCAATAATAACTAAGTAACAAGGTATCGTAACAAGTATTAAAATGCAAGATTTCAGCCCTTATTCTAACCATTCATTCTAACCATAGCCCTTATTCTAACCATTACCTGATCTGATTGTGACTTTTGATAATTTTAATTAGAAATGTTAATATTTACCTCAGCCCAGGACGAAATACTTGGATTATAGTGAGTCAAAGTGAGTTTCACATTTATGAAACAAGATTATAATTTAAAGTTGATGGCTAAATTAAACCAATAGAAGTGATTGAAAGAATGACATAAAGTTTTGTTTTTGTTTTTTTTAAAGGTGGTGGCTGGCAGAAAGTTCATTATAACTGTTGATATGGCGAGAACCAACTGCAGAAAAGACCGGACCAATGAAGTGTGTGTCGCCGATCCCGGTGCACAGGTAGGGGTACTAACGATGCTCTCAAAAACAACATTCGTTATTTTACCTAACTGAATTTTCCACCTTTTCTCTTGTAGACCTACCAGTGCACATTCACAGTGTGGAGCCGCCCCTGGCTGAAGGACATTCAACTGACTGCCCAGACTTGCTCTTAATAATGCACATCTGTCTCTGCACTCTTAACATGACATTAACACACTAATAAATAATTTAGCAGTACTATTCCTACTAATCCAGCCTTCCAGTTGCAATTAACCTTTTTTAATGACTAGAAACACAGAAAATACTAACCATTTCATTTTTGATAAAGAAAATGATCAACTGTCTATGAGTTGGGTCCATACAGTATTGAAATAAAGTGAGATGAGAAACACTACTTTGTTTAATTGTATTATTACTGTAGACAACAATAAATTCAACATCAAATATAAGTGGTCAAAATATAAGTGGTCAAACCACTTAGACCGCCAGATTAATCGCTACATCAGGCATAAAAATAACTAATATTGTTGGCATGATATAAAAAGCACATTACAGTAACTATGTCTAAGCCGTAAATGTAGTGCTGTGTTCATCTTGTTATCTATAAAATCATTTGTAGTGGGAAAAAGTCAGTGTTGCAGCTCTCATTCATTATTTTAATATCCATGGTTATTTTTATCATCTGATTTACTTATTAATATTTTGCTATCGAAATGTGTTTCCACTGCCTCAGGAGTTTGACAAATGGACTTTCTGAGAAGTTTGTCTACTATGAACTAAAAATGCACAAACTAATACTCACAAAATACATTCTTCCAAAGCCAAAATAAATAATAATAATAATTTCCCCATTGGGACAATAAAGTAAAACTTGCAAATAAAACATTGCTTTCACTTTTTAGACAATGTATACAATGCAATAACATAACAGTAAAAATGAAGTAGACAATATAATAAACAAACAAAAATTTCTGTAATATTAGAGCTATATTGTGTTTGTCTATATACTACTACAGGAGTGGAGAGGTGACAGACTTTCCAAAGTGGGGCATCAAGGGAACGCATCTTTTTTTACGTTTTATGTAGACCAGTGTCTCCCAAAGTGGGGTCCGCGGCCCCCTGGTGGGCCGCGAGGGTACTGCAGGGGGGCCGCGGGAGGTCATAAAAAAAATAATATAATTATTTAATGTTAAATTTATAATGTTTTGTTTGTAATATTAAAATATTTGTGTTCATTATTTGACTTGAATAATCCACTGTAATCATTTGTGTATTACAATGTTTGTAGCAGAGGCTATTTCCCCAAAATAAAATAACCAGAAGAGCCTATTCTTAATGTTGTCTTCTTGGTTATTATTTTGGGGGGCCACGCAGACCCGTCAGATTTTTAAGGGGGCCTCGGTGTTACTGAGTTTGGGAATGGCTGATGTAGACAATCTACTGCATTTACGTTTTGTCATTATTTACATGACTAGAGTAGGTGTTATCAGTCTTCAGCCTTCACAATAACGACCCATATTTTTATACGAAGCATCCTTTTCAATGTACGACTAGTCTCAACTGTCTTATAAAATTGGTATTATTTTCAACAATCATACACACCTACGCATACAGGTCCAGGGCAGAAACATAATCAATTGTAAACTAAAATAAAACAAAACACATATCTGCATAAAAGGAGCCTCGCTTCAAATACAAATGAATATACTCGAATACAAATGTTTATTCACTTTACCGCTAATATTCGACACAGTTGTCTTGTCAGCTGGCACAAAATCATTTTTAAAGAAGTTTTAAAACGCTTGTCATATTATCACTGTTGAAGGTCTGATGTCTTAGACCACTTACCGGAGAGAGGTGCCAAGATGGCGAACTAGAAGGACGTGTTTGAGAGCTCCGCACAAGACCGAAATTTTAATACTTGAACTTGTTCTAATACACCCCAATTACGAAGATGGATCCACAGAAGGTAATAAAACCTGCCAAATTGAATCCACCATTACCTCCGAGGCCGAAAACCCCACAAGAACGGGAGGAAGAACACGGCTATGCTAGCATGGATGTAGCCACACAACAAAAACGTGGTCACGGAGTAGACTCTGCCCCATCAACTCCAACTAAGAAACCGCTGGATAAGAAACTGAAACCTACGGCTGACTGTAATGAGGTTCAAGTGTCGAATAATGACATTTTTGATGCAATACTGAGTTTGAAGTCAACAGTAGCGGGAGTGGAAACGCGGGTTCTTAGCGTGGAATCGCAGCTTGACGAGATACGTAACCAAAATCAGCAGACCAGTGCTATGCTAGCTAGCTTGGCCAAATCTGTCCAATTCAATGCTAAAGAATTGTCTGATTGTATTAAGAAAGTTGATAAACTCGAGAAAGCAAATGGACAACTATTGAAGGAAAACGACATCTTAAAGGAAAAAGTAAGGGAACAAGAACGGTATAAGATGCGATGGTCTCTTCGGCTGAGAGGCGTGAAGGAGAAGAGAGACGAAAACATCAGAGATGTGGTCATTAGCCTTTTGAAGAAGATCACCCCTGATCTTGAACTGAAGATGGAGGACGCTGTGGATGTAGTTCATAGAATGGGAAAGAGAGAAGACCACCGGACAAGACAAGTTATTATCCTGTTTGCGTTCAGAAGAGTGAAGGAAGAGGTCTGGAGAAGAAGCAAAGATTCTGTAACCTGCAGAGATGAGGGAATCAGCTTCGCTGAGATGTTGCCTCAGGAAGATTTGGAGGAGCGGCGGCGTCTTTGGCCACTGATTGAACAGGCCCGCAGAGCTGGTAAACGGGCCTTTTTTAGAGGGCCTAACGTATACATTGATGGACGTCGTGTGGAAGAAAAAAGACAGACAGAAGATTAGGTATGATAAGAATTTTTGGTGTGGACTTTTGTGTGGTCTGAGAGCTCTAAAGCTATGTTTTTTTTTTTTTTCGCATTCACATTTTACTCTTTTTGTTCTCTTTCTACTTAGAAGGGTGTGTAGTTCATGTTAGATTCTAAATTATTGTTTGGTTCTTTAAATGTTAGGGGCTTAAAAGAACTTGTTAAACGAAAAGCTTTGTTTTTATTTTGTAAAGGGCAAAGATGTCACTGTTATTTTTGCAAGAAACTCATTCCTCAGATGTGGACTCATCATTCTGGAAAAACCAATGGGGCGACAAGATACTATTCAGCCATGGAACCTCGAGGTCTGGAGGTGTGGCTATTTGCTTTAACAACTTTCCAGGAGAGATCATCACTCACCAAACAGACTCAGATGGACACTGGATTGTTGCTGTGGTAAAGATGGAAAGCATTTTCATAATAATATCAAATGTATATGGATATAATAATGAAAATCAAAATAGCTTAATGTTAGACAACCTATCTATTGTAATTTCAGATTGTAAGATACGATATCCAACTAATTATATATTGATGGGAGGGGACTGGAACCTTACACCAAACGAATGGCTTGATAGATGGCCTTCAAGAGATGGAAGGCCGCAATTTAATAGGATTATCAATGATTTTATGGCTAATAATGAGTTATTTGACATTTGGAGAGAAATCAATCCAGGTGTCAAATATTTCTCGTGGTTTAAACCAAATGGAGCGTGCAAATCTCGGCTCGACTATTGGTTAGCCAGTAATCATATACTTAACTCTGCTACTAAAACGACAATGTCCAAAGCTCCTTTATCAGATCATAGTTTTATAGATCTCACTTTGGAACCTTCCAGAGCAAAGAAAACACTTAAAGGATATTGGAAATTGAATGCACAGTTATTAGAAAATGAAGAATATTGCTTTCGTGTAAAAGAAATTATTACTGATATTAAAAATGATAAATCTATTCGTGGACATATTAATAAATGGGAATATATCAAATTTAGAATCAGGGAAATGAGTATTACATTTAGTAAGATGTTAGATAAGAAGAAAAAAGACTATGAAACAAACTTATTTCAGCAAATACATCAATGCTGTAGCAAAACCAATCTAACCCCTGATGATAAAAGTAAATTAATGGAACTGCAAAATAAATTGGATAAACTTTACCTTGACAAAGCACAAGGCGCTTATGTTAGATCGCGTGCTAAGTGGATAGAAGCTGGTGAAAAAAACTCGTCTTATTTCTTTAATCTGGAAAAAAGCAGGCAGCAAAGAAACTGCGTCTCAAGCCTAATCATAAATGGTACTGAAAGTAAAGATCCAAAAACAATTGAAAATGAAGTTTATTTGTTTTACTCCAAATTATTCTCTTCTCAATTTTCAGAGGAAGACTGCAATAACCTGTTTAAAGCTCACAATCACTTAATACCCCAGATTGATGACAATTTTAAAGATATTTGTGAATCAGAATTAAAAATTGAAGAACTTGATGCTTCGAATTAAAAGAATGGCCTTTAACAAATCTCCAGGTACAGACGGCTTAACAGTTAACTTTTACAGAAAGTTTTGGGATGATGTGAGAGTCATTTTATTTGAAGCCTTAAAAGAATGCATTGAGAGAAAAGAACTGATATCGAGCATGAAACAGGGAGTAATAACACTAATACCAAAACCAGGAAAAGATAAGAGACAACTTGATAATCTAAGGCCAATTACTTTACTTAACACTGATTATAAGATCTTTTCTGGGTCAGTTGCAGAAAGACTTAAAAAAGGATTATCAGAAATCATAAGCGAAACGCAATCTGGCTTTCTAAAAAGTAGAGCTATTCACAATAATATCAGACTGGTACTGGATATAATTGATTATTCAGATTCTTTAGATCAAAATGGTTTTATACTATTTCTTGATTTTTATAAGGCATTTGATTCTGTTGAACACGCATTCATTTTAAAAACATTAAATAACTTTGGATTTGGAGAAAGATTCAACAATATAATTGGGATGTTATATAAGGACATAAACAGTTCAGTTTCTTTGGGACAAGGTACATGTAAAAGATTCAATATTGAAAAAGGCATACGTCAGGGCTGTGGATGCTCTCCACTGTTATTCATAATTGTTGCTGAGGTGTTGGCTATCTTAATTAAGAACAGTGGCATAGCTGGAATTGACGTAATGGGCAGACAGGTTATAATTAGTCAATTGGCTGACGATACAACGCTGTTTTTGAGTGATGAAAATCAAATTACTTTAGCTCTACAAACTATAAATGTCTTCTCA